GGTCGAGGGGTTCCCGGAGGTGCTGCTGTCCCTGGGCTCCAGGCTGGGCTGCTGCTGCTCCCAGGGGACTCGCTGTCCGGCTGGGGTGGGGCTCCTGGAAACCGGCCCCACCCCTGCCCCTCCTCACCTGGCTCAGGGCTCAGGAATGGGGTGCCCCGGAAACTCTGCCGGACCTGCCCGGGCCTGGGGCGGGGTGCCCGGGCGCTGGGTGTCCGCTGGCAGAAGTCCTAGGCAGTGACGGGGAGCCCAGGTGAGCCTCTACCCCAGGCAGGCCTCCGGGATCCAGGCCTCTGAGCACCTCCCACTCCCTCCCCAACCCCCTCCCCCCAACTCCCCCTCCTCCCGGGGAGAAGGGGTGTGTGGGCGAGGCCTGTGGGTCTGAGCCTGCAAGGGGTCTGTCTGTGGAGGAGGGGATTCTAGCTCTAGGGACAGGATTGGGGGGGCACATGGTCGGCCCCACCTCCAGCTCTGCTGGTTCCCAGCTGAGCTCCTGCTGGAGGGAGGGGAAGGGGCTTGGCCTGTGTGTGTATGTGTGTGTGTGTGTGGGTGGGGGGGGCTGGGCTGAGAAAGGGAAGTCCTTGAGGCCCCTAAGTGAGGACACTGTCTGGGCACCCTGGCCTCACCCAAGGAAGTCCCCTTGAGTTGAGCCAACTTTTCTGAGCGCCGCGTTCCCTGGGGGTGAGTGTAGGGAGGACCGGGCACCGAGCAGACGCAGGGCACAGAGTGAAGAGCCCACACAAGGTCACGCTGGTTCCAGTTGGCCCCCGCCGACCGCAGAGCCCTCTGCCTGGACACAGGCTGCACAAAGGCAGCCTGTTTAACGCCCAGCCCCCCTTCTCCCAGGCAGCTGCCCCGGCCGGCCCCTGGGGTGATGAATGCAGGGGAGTAGGTCTGGTGACCTTGCAGCGCCGCCCCGGCCCGGCCCAGTGGGGAGAGCAATGTTGGTGGGGGGTGGGGGCTAGCTGTGGGAGGGGTTTCCTGGGAGAGGAAGTGCTCTGGGGTTATGGGCAGGCCCAGGAAGGAGGGCTCGAGTCGCCCTGACCCTTTTCACCAAGGGAGTGGGGGTGTGCCCGGGGCAGAGCGCTTGGGAAGGCCAGCCGCGTGCACAGACACCCACCCTTCCCTTTCCAGGGACTGGCGCCATAGAGGAAACCGACGGGGACTGCCCAGACCCCCCTCCCTTCCTTCCTCTCTCCCTCAGGCAGTGGAACGGGATCCCCCTCACCCCCTTCTGCCATGAGTTTTATTCGGGGTCACTAGCCTGACCGCGTATCGGGCTGTGGATGGGGGGCGGGCAGGGGCTCGGGCGGCCCAGGCTGTGAGTGCCACCTCCCGCGGTCCCCAGGGAGCGGGTGGTTCGGCCGGGCACCAGGCATGGAAGGCTGACCTTGGTGCAATATTCTGTCTCATCAGATGGGCAGCGAGGGGGCTTCGGGGGCTGCACCCAGGCTCTGAGCTGCCCTAGGGCCGCAGACTGGCTGGGCGTGGGCCCTAGACATGGCCCAGCCGCTGCCCTTTGTCCTCAATGTCCCTGAGATCCCGGAGGACCATGAGTAAGTGGTCTGGGCCTGGCGGGGGTGGGGGCTGGGCGGCGGGCTGGAGGGCAGGGACGTCCCCAAACTCCCTGCCAGGGAGAGGCCATCTGGACCAGGGCCCGGGGAAGGGGCGGCCGCTGGGGCGGGACCGGGCCAGCTGAGTCCTGGACGCCTGCCCCCTTCTTGCTCCCACAGCCGGGAGCCCAGCCCGTACGACGAGAGTGAAGTCCATGACTCCTTCCACCAGCTCATCCAGGAGCAGAGCCAGTGCGTGGCTGAGGAGGGACTGGAGTTACAGCAGAGGGGGCTGGGGTCCGCAGCCCCGGGGACCTCGGGTGAGCCTTCCTGGCCCAGGTGCCCGGCTGCTGCTGTGGGCCGGGCGCTGAGCCTTCCCGGCCTCTCAGGACACCCCTCCCGGCTGCGTGCGGGCCCGAGGTGGGGACCGGGTGGCGGAGGCCGCTGGCCAGCCGGGACCTCCGGACGAGTCTTTTTTGTGTACAGGCAGTGGCCGCCAGGCCCTCCTGGGGCCCGAGGATGCTGCTGCCCACAGCACGGCCACGCTCCGCATCCTGGCCAGCATGCCTAGTCGCACCATCGGTGAGTGGGACCCTGGGCAGCCGGGGCTGCGGGTGGCGCTGTGAGTACCCGCCCCGCCCCCTCCCGGCCACCGCCCGGAGCCCCCATGCGGCCTCGGCCTCGCTGGGTCGCAGAAACGACCGACCGCACGGATAAAAAGAGGCTAAAAGATAGGCTCTTGGGAAGCCAGCCGGTGGTGCCTGGGTCCCGGGAGAGGCGAGGGGCAGAGAGGCACAGCGGCGCGGCCCCCTGACCTGCTGCCCCCCCCTGCAGGCCGCAGCCGCGGGGCCATCATCTCCCAGTACTACAACCGCACGGTGCGGCTTCGGCGCAGGGTCAGCCGGCCCCAGCTCGGGGGCGTGGGGCGCTCGGCCCGGCCCAGCCTCCGCCTCTATGACCTGGAGCTGGACCCCGCGGCCCTCGAGGAGGAGGGTGAGTGAGTGGGCCCCGCGCCTCGGTGGGTCGGAGCCCAGGCCGGCTCCCCTCCTGCCGCGGGGCTGCCCGAAGGCTGCCAGGCCTCGTGAGGCCTTGCCACGGTGCGGGGGGGGGGGGGGGGGGGGGGGGGGGGGGCCGCCCGGGGCGGCCAAGAAGCGGGGCCTTCGGGCTGAGAAGGGTTTGGTCCGGGGCGGGTAGCGGTCGGAAACGCCTGGCCCACACACTCCCACGCTGAGCACCCATTGCATATGCCGGTCTCGGCTTTGGGGTGCGATGAACCTGGGGCTGGGTCAAGTGTGGGAAAGTCCCTGACCGGGTCTGGCTCACCGGCAGTGAAACAGATCGAACCAACTCAATGGAAAAGCAGGTGATTAAAGCACAGATCAGGGCAACGGAGGAAAGGCACGCTGCGGGAGGGGGATTCAGGGAGGCTTCCTGGAAGAAGTGACACTAGAGCAGAGGGGCATGTGCAAAGGCCCTGAGGTGGGAGGCCGGTGTGGAGGGGCTAGAGGGCAAGGGACGGTGGTTGTAGCAGGGCCAGTGTCACGGGTTGGCCTTCAACCTGGTATCCTCTGGCGTTCAGGTGCCCAGAGCTCAGGCACTGTGTTGGGGCCCCGCCTGTCTCCTCCCCAGTTTGCTCGAGGCCCTGCGGCAGGGGACGGACAGCGCAGGGAGGCGCGGGCTCCAGGGTCAGGGTGAACTTTCCAGCTTCACTTTGCAAACCGGGCCGGGTGTCCGTCAGCTTTCCGAGTGTCACCTCTTGTCTGGGAACTTGGGGTTGGAGGGCTGCCCCCTCCCAGGGTGGTGGTGGAGATGAAAGAGGGAGGGGGGGGGTCTCCAGGCGGTGCCCTCCCCCGTCACCCCACGAGAGCTGGTGTCGTGGGCAGTGGTCGGGGCTGGGGTTGGACCTCATCGCTGCTGACCAGGGCGGGGATGGGGGGCGGGGCTCAGGTGCAGCGGGGGTCAGAGCAAGGTGCTTGTGGGGGCTCAGGAGGAGAGTCAGGGTCGAGGAGGAGGGGCCCGTTGGCCGAGGTGGGGGAGAGTGAAGACGGCTGGTGCGGGAACACAGGCGGGCATGGCCGGGCCTGGCTTGGGCGGCACGAGCAGAGGGGAGCCGGCCTCCTGGACCTGGGCGGGCAGAGGTGTGTGTTGGGGTGGGGCCGCGGGGGCGGACAGGCTCCTCCGGGGTCACGGCCACAGGTGCGGGAGGAGTACGGCGGGAACCGACCCCAGTCCGTCATCCTCCGTCCTCCTGCAGAGAAGCGGTCCCTGCTGGTGAAGGAGCTGCAGAGCCTGACGGTGGCCCAGCGGGGCCACATGCTGAAGGGAATGCCCTTGGGCCTGGCTGAGAAACGCAGCCTGCGGTCAGTGCCCAGCGGGCCCGGGCGGCCCCCGCACCCGCTTCCCTGGCCGGGCTGGGTGGTCGGTGAGAAGGTCCCCCCCCCCACCCCCCCCACCCCCCAGCTTGCAGCAGGCGGGGAGGGAGCTGGGTCCATCCCTGGTCCAACCGTGATGTTGCCTCTGCGCCCAGAGAGGAGAGCCGGACCCTGACGGGGAAGCACAGGGAGCGGCGGGGCCGGCGTGGGCTCTTCCCCTGCTGCGGTTGGCTCCGAGACACCTGCGTCTTGGTAGGAGCCTCCGGTCTGGGATGGGCCCAGGGCAGCCGGGGCGGGGGGGGGGGGGGGGG